CTGTTGGTATTTTCCACTTTACTGTCAGTTAAGTCATTCCCCGTGTTGTGGTCATCTTGTCCATTTTCAATATTAGTTGTGTCGTTGTTATCAGGGGATTCTGGCTTTGATGAACCACCCTCTTTCGATGGAATTTCAGCATTCTGTGTATCCTCTTCTTGCGGTGACTTGTTGGGATGATGTGACTCTTCGGTTTGAGGTGCCTTCTCGGCTTCTGATGAATCATTTTTCTCTGGTGAATCCACGTTTGGTGATGGAATTTCACTTGCGTTGGAATTGTCGCTCTTGTCGTCATACTCAATGGTGGGAAGATCGGTTTCATTCAACCCTGTGCACACTTCTTCGTATCTGGGGCAAACAATACTCCCACCTTTGAATGCTGAACCCTCCAGTGTAATTTCATGACCATCCTTTTTGCACTCAATCCACTCAGTAGTATCTTCCTTGCCCTTGTATTGCACATGCACCTTGCCATTCTCACACTTTACCTTTGCACAAATGCCCTTTACGGTCACTCCATTTCTCTGAACTCCCTCGCTGAACTCCAGCGGTTTGTCCACATTCAGACACCGTGACATTTTACTCACAATGCTTCCAGGCATCAGTGCAACATCACCACTCTCGCATGTAGTTTCCTTTAATGGTTTCACGATGGGACAGCCATTCGTCATCTCATTCTGTCCAGCAGTCTTTGTAAAGTAGTGGTACACCTTAGGCAGGTTACCCGGCAGTGACTTGGAGGAACACATTCCAAGGGCGAAACGGTCAGATGTGCACTGCAAGACCGGTTCGTTTTCGTCGCAGAACATGCTGGTGTACTTCATTAATTCATCCCTGTACCTGTCACATGTCTTATCTAGTAAATTACATCCAGATTTATTTCCCCAGCTCATCGGCTCTGCCATGTTGAAGTTCGCGCTGTAGAAGGGCAAGGAATGGAATGCTGCAAGTGTCAGATTAGTGTAGTACATGCCAGATGGTTCTTCTGTGTATGGACTCATCAATTCATCCTTCGCAATCCTTCGCTCCCAATGCAACTTACTGCGACCATCACCCTCATCCTCCATGTACATGCCTGTGATATGCAAGTGACAGTCGTAATGTTCTCTCATCTTCTCCAGCATTATATCAGAATGCACAGCCCTCGTGTTTGATGTCAGTCCTCCAAGTCTAATCTTCCCATAGTTTTGCATACGGGTCACGTCAAACCCAAGTCCATGTGCAATCTCATGCGCTGCTGTGCGGACAAAGTGTCTCGTGTCCAGAATGTCTTTCGGTACAAATTTGATCAGTGCAGAAGTTGGTCGTTGGTCTAAATCCTGAGAACATACTCTTGTTGACATTTCAGATTCATCAAGACTCACAAAAAGTACGAAATCAGCATTGGAGAAAGCATTTGTTTTGTGATCCCATACCTTTATGACCCCGCATTCTCCCGAAAATGAGTTTATGGTGCTTGTAGAGACCACAGCTTCACCCTCTTTCTCTTCAACGTTGAGACGATCTGTATGCAACTGGATCGCGGCGAGTAAGAGTTTATTCAGTAAGAGGTCCTTCTTTGCATCGGTTATCCCAGTCTCATTATCACAGAACACTTTTTCCTTACTATTCCAATGAACCGTCTTGTTAAACTGTTCGGCCAAGGCTCGCTTTCTGTCACAGTCCCTCAACACATTATTCACGCCTTCTGCGGATACTTCGATGTGTATGGGCTTCCAGTGTTTCCCACTCTTGTCATCTTCAGCAACAGTGTACGCATGCAAAGCACTCTCTCCTTTCTGTGGTAAGTGCTGCACAACAGCGGAAAAGGACGTGCCGGTACAGCACAATAACAAGAATAGCAGCAGTACAGGGTACAATAAGTGACGCATAAAGTACTTCTCCATTATATAGCTGCGTGAATTAAGGTGAGTGTGTGAACTTGTGTGTCTGTCTGCCTGTCTGCGTGTGTGTGTTGCTTTGTTCTTGTGACCGCAAAAGAGCAGAGATAAGAAAGAAAAGAAAAAAAAAGCGAACATGATAAGGAGAAAAAAGTGTTCATGTGTACAATAATAAGAATGCTATTAGAAACCACTACCAACGCTACCACTGGTACGAGAGGAATACCAAGGGTAAAATAAGAGGAGAAACCAGAGAGAAAAAGTAGTCATCAGCATTATTGATAGGTGTCTACTCAGTAGCAACAACACTACAAGAAAAAAAAGAATTTGTGAAAGAGTTCGAAGTAATCTCCACTTCAGCGGTTTTACTTGTGGACTGAAAGTGCACAGCATCCATCTGCACTTTTTCTCTTCGTTGCTTTTCTTGTCGTTGTCGCCGACGCAGCACACAATACAGAATGACAGCTACAATAACAAGAACAACCACAACTGCGATAACAATACCAACAATGGCACCAAGAGATAATTTATTTGAGCTTGGCACCACTGCCGAGTCACCCTCCGGCAAAAAAAAGGTTCCCTCACATCATGCGACCAAACATAACGGCGTTCGTTAAATGTCACATCAGATGCAACAAAGCAAAAGGTCACTTTGTCAGCACCCAGTTTATACAGACTGTACAGACTCAAGATGTCAACATCAACAGATGGGGAATTTGGAGAGCTACTCCTCACACACACAGAATCTTGAGCCGTAGCCACAGACTCACACGGTATATTCGGCAGCACTGCACACACTTTGTACCATTAGATGCACACATGCAGTCATATTGTACTGAGGAAATAAGGGATTAAAGCGGACACTCGTCAACAATATGCCGTTAAACAATAGTCGGTACATTTGTACCTGATGTGCAGAAAGGTTTCCAATAGAAGAGTGAAACACTTCCATAAAATACAAATACCAAAAAAAAACTTGTGCTCATCATTGTTGATAATAATGCAGTAATAACGGCATCAGCATTTCTGCAAAAGGGTATCGGCCACGTCAGCAGGATCGCGTATCGCAAGTTTGAGTTTGTTTTCACTCAGTTGTTACCGCTCATATAATACTCTAGTTCACTGAAGTAGAAGGACAAACAACTACAGAGCAATGAACTCTATGGTGATGCAGTGGTTGGTTAAGAAACCAGTGCAATGTTCCCATGTTGCTTGATACAAATACCACAATGGAAATAGTACTTTTACTCCCCTCGCGTTTTGTAGAATGAGAGAGAGGGAAGTATCTTTATGAAAATATCTATCATTTGCAGAGTGTTATGATTAAATTTCCAGCAAGCCACGCAGATTCTTGACAACTTCAACGACGATAACAACAAGAGGCACACTTCTCACTTAATAACAAGCACCACAAAAAAAAGAGAAAAGGAATAGCACCAAGAACTTGCATTCATTGCACCAGCACAGCCATTTACTCTGGCATCACAGGAGAAGAGAAGATCAGAAAAGGCAACAAAACAAAAAAGTTTAATGGTGTCCCGTAATGGACACCATTACGCAGTGAAATACACACAGAAAAAAAAAAATTCCCTTTCTTTTTACCTTAACCCATGGGTAATAGAAATTAACTATCTCTCTTAATATGCATTTGACCACAGCATTCTTTCAGAAGCCCTTACTCATTCAACCTTATAAAAAAAAAGACCACCAAGAGTCCGTACACCCTCAAAGGATGCAAGCAAAAGAAAAAGATTAATCAATAAATTGAAAAGCAAAACAGAAAAAAAGACTTTTTTTTTATTTCATTTTTTACACAGTAATCTCCCTCAAACTTAGAATCAGAAACTCATGTGCAGACATATTATAACTGGTTGCGTATATCATCTATTGCCTCACTGTGTTGTCCATAGTTCTCACATAAAATTATATTCGCTCAAGCATTATGTGAGATTTACTTAAATATGGAAACCCCAGCCCCTCACTTTAATACCAGTCGGTTGTGCGTACACATATAATAATAATAACGCGTCTACTTGAGAGTCCCAAAACTCAGGGAAATACGGATACCTTCAAAAGAAGAAAACCAAGCAAAACAAACGGTGTAAAAGTACTTGCAATCATTGTATTATCCCCCCCAATCGCAGAAAACCTCGGATCAATATTATGGAGAGCAGTCTGGTTAAAAGCGCAGTTACATCTTTCATCTTCCTTGTCAGGGAAAAAACCAATTACATCGCTTGCAGTTACACCTTTTTCAACGTCAAACACATCATAGTTCACGTTTGTGAAGTGTACCGTCGGTGGTTTTCGCTTTTCCGAAAAGGACAGACTCTGTTCAAACACAATCACTTCATTCGGCGCATCCACCTTTAGGATGGACTCCGGGCAGTACAGTGAGTACTGCGGACCTACTTCAGACCAGAAGCGGCCAAGATTAAAACCGTTAACAATTACAAATCCCTTTCCAAACCCTCTCATGTCCAACATCGTTCCTCCTCTCAGACCCCCTGTGATGGTCAGGGACCCACGGTAGAATGTGCCGGGCTGCAGTGAAATCGGGTTGACGCTTCCCTGACTGTTTGCCTCCGGAGTCGTCTGCGGAATCGTTGTCCAATTCGCTTTATAAATAAGGTCGCGTGTCATTGGTAGAGTATAGATGGTGTACGACGACGGTTCCATATCATCCGTATCCCCCTCCCCGTCCTCAAAAGTGATATCAGGTGCTGAAGATAGTCCTTTCCGCACATCGCTTGGTTGCTTCCACCAGTAGTTCATTCTCCCCATATTCTCCACCACAACCGTTACTGTA